ACATGGTGTGGATGTGACTGACCTGCTCTTGCCGTCAAGAAGCTCTCTTAAATCTTCAGCTGAAATCTACCCTCCTGGCATTTAAGCCTGTTAGATCTAGTCCAGCCTTTCTCAACCTGTGGGTCTCCAGATGTTGTTGAACTACAACTCCCATCACCCCTAGCTAGCAAGGCCAGAGTTCAGGGATGATGGGAGTTGTAGGCCAACAACATCTGGGGACCCACAGGTTGAGAACCGCTGGTCTAGTCCTTTCGTTTGAAGCAGTAACAGAGCAAGTCTTTGCCCCTCTTCTCTTCTCTGCCTTTGGGGAATTTTGAAGAGGGGTATCGTGACTCATAAAGCGACACATGAGCATGGCATGGATGTGAGAACGCCACACATGCATGCGCACATGTACTGTTCTCTCATGCATGCACACTCACACGCAAAGACGCCTCACACACACTCAGTTTGATGGGTTGCTGTGCAGCAGCCGGATGAATTAGGGCTCACCTTCCCCAAAATGCAGAACAGAAACCCTGAGAACAGCTCATGGAGGAACAGAACGAGCTCTTTCTCCCAGGGACACATGCTCCAATTCCATGCTGCGTGGTGGAGAAAAGGGGGACTTCCCAGAGACTCCCCTGCCCCGACTCACATGGCATGAAGCATCTGAATCACCAGTCCAAGTTAGATACGAGGATCTTCAATGATAATCAAACAGTAAATAAGATAGGGAAAGACTTATTAGACATATGGGAGATTAATGAGAAGGGCCAAAGCACTCAAGCAATAATATGGGATGCAATGAAAGCGGTGATGAGGGGAATTGGCATTAGGGAATCCAGTAAATTGAAGGGTGGGGTGGGGGGGGGGGACAAAAAGAGATGAAAAAGTTAGAGGTAGAAATTAGGACATTGTAAAATCAATATATTCATGATAAGCATAAAAGACGTTATGCACAATTACAGGCAGAAAGGAAGGTGTTAGAAAATAAAGATATGGAAAAAGTGCAGAGGGATTTGATATGCTTGAAAAGATAATTTTTTGAAGATGGTAATAAAAATTCCAAATTGCTGGCGAGAGCTGTACTGTCAAAAAAAGTAAAGATTTCAATTAGCCTAATAAAGGATAAAACGGGTAATATTCACAATCTGATGAAAGATAAGTTGAGAGTATTTAAGGAGTTTTACCAAGAGTTATATTCGGCAGGTAACATATTCTATGGGGAAGATGAAAGAATATATCGAGACACACTGGAAGATAAAGCTAGAAAGCAGGGATAGAGAGGCTATGGAACAGCCAATTTCAGGAAAAGAAAGTGAGGGAGCTGTAGGGAAACTAAAAGGGGGAGAAGCCCCAGGAGCATATGAATTGGGAAAGGAATATTAGGAGGTATTTTAAAAAATATTGGTTCTTAAATTAAAAGCATTATATTAATTCAGTAATAGAGGGTGAGAGGATCCCTCCATTGTGGGAACCATTATCTTAGTTCCAAAACCAGGAAAAGATTTGAAGGACGCAGGATCATATAGGCCGATTTCCCTAATAAATCAAGATGCTAAAATATTGGCCACAATAATGGCAAAAAGGATGGATAATTTTATGTATAAATATATAAATAAAAACCAATGTGGCTTTGTAGCAGGAAGACACAGGTGTCTAGCTTAATAGGAAGAATGCTGAATAAAATAGATATAATAAGAAATAAACTGAAAGCTGGTATAGTAGCATTGGATATTTTTAAGGCTTTTGACTGTGTCGAATGGCTGGCATTAAAATTGATTATACTCGTCACAAGCCTGGAGCTAGACTTGATGATCTGATAATGTTAATAGTCTATACTTTGACTTTGTTAACTCATGTGCAACTACTCATTCTACGTACCTATTTTATAAATTGTTTCTCATCTTCTAATTTGTTTGCTCTCTCTGTTTTATATACGTTATCAAATGAAATGAAACTTAAAACTTTACCCAAATAAATAAATAACCAGCTGACAACCCCTTCTCCTTTTCAACAGCTGAGCTGCAAGGATGGGTTCGCAGCGCTGTACTAGGCACATTTTCAGAAGCGGGGAGCCTACGGAGTATGGGGTTTATTCGTCAGTCCTCCATACTCAAGAGTGAACTGGGTACTGGCTTTGAACAGTGGCTAAGAGCAGGGCTTGTGAGCCAAAAACGCTCAGCAAAAAACTCGCCTCAGCCACAAATTTACCAGGGATGCCTCTTTTCTTGTAGACCCCATGTATGATACTATTAGCGGGTAATACTGCACTTACGAACTGGTGCCTGCCAGTCATACTAGGGCTATGCTGAAATTTTGCAGGATTCCTGTTTCATTGAGAGACATGGTGTCAGGGGCTCAGGAGCAGAGGCGCAGGGGAGAGAGGAAATGGAGAGCGAAGGGGAAGAATCTGAGGGCAGCGGAGGGCAGAATGACAGTGACCCGAGAGATTCCATGAGCCTCTCCAGTGAATCAGAAGATTCCCAGAAGGGGGCACCGATGGCCAGGGCAAGGGGGGTCCCAGGGGGGACACACCAGAAGCAGGGGGCCAGCGGAGACTCCCAGAGCAGTAGCTGGAAATCAGGGCCAGCTTCCCCACCGGAGCGTAGTGGGGGGGGGAAGAGTCCCATAGGTCAGAGTCAGCGTCTCCTCCAGCAAGCAGCGACAGGAGCAGTATAACGGTCAGAAGGAAGGTGGCAGGCTGGGCGCGCACGCCAAGTTCAAATGTACAGGCGCGCGGGACAGCAGAAAGCCCGGATTGGGAACCAGGTCCTAAAGCCCGCCGGACGGAGGGGGAAGACTCGGGGGAGTCAGCATCAGAAGAGTCTAGAAAGGGGAAAACGCCGGCGGACAGGCGGACCCAGAGGAAGAGGGAGCAGAGAAAGAGGTGGAGCAAGGCTAGGGTCTTAAACTGGTGTCTGGGGGGAGGAGACTCAGACGGAGCTTCGGCGGTCTAGGGTTTAAGACGTAGAGCTGCGCGCCGTGGCTGTAAATGAGAAACTGAACTTCAATAAAGACTATTTAATATAACAACGGACTGGCGTTGGTCCTCTGTGAGCTGGGACCTGGGGCAGCTCTGACACATGGCATTTCAGGGCTAGCAGCGTTGGCTCGCTGCTTGCCATGAAATCAACCGGTCTCCCTTCGCCAAGAGAGGAGGAGAGACTCTTTTAAGGTGGCAGTTTCCCCTTAATAAGGAGAAGGGAGCTTCACCTTTCTCGGGAAGAGTGATGACGTACTGCAGCCAGTCAGATTTGTCTATATAAATTGAATGAATGAATAAATAAATAAATGAATAATCAGTCAATCTCATTACAGTCAAGCAAAGCCAAATCAGACTGAGGGCAATGCTTCCTACATCACATTTGGAGGTGAAACTTGGTAATTTTGGACCCTGAATCTAATGGACGTACAGGGGCATTGGATTGAGCCATATGTATTATCTCTGTCGCTTCAGTTGGGAAGGACACAATTAAAATTTCTCTTCTCCCCCGCCTCCAAGGAACAGAAAGAGAGAGAACCCAGCTTGCCAACTCTGATTAAAGAAGGGAAAAAATACCCTCAGCATGTGTAGTTTCACATTTTATAACTCATTTTCAATCACAGCACCATTACTGCTACAGGCTAGATGTGTTCACTAGAGTATAAGCACGGACATTTTGCGCCAGAAAAAAAAGAAAAGAAAAGAGGATAATACGTTTTGAAAGTAAAAATAATAAACTGAGCATCTGTAATCGTGTATGTGCCAAGCTGGCTGTCCCCCAACTATAAAACATTTAATGAAATTAAAAGGAAGAGAGAAAGAAGGCTATAATAGCAACCAGCCCCGGCGGGCTGGCCACAGACCTGTTTGCTGCAAGCCACAGTTTTGCCATGTTCTGGGTGATTACTAAGTGGGACCCTGGACTTGGGCCCTGCATTCCAGTCTCAGCTGCCCTAATGATCATCGGAAGCAATTTGCCAGCAGGTGGGTTCACTGTTGCTTACCAAGACGCAGGATGAGGCAGAAGGAAGATTGGCGCACTGCAAATGCACCAGTGGAACAAATCTGGTGCTCCTCCTGGTGCGTTTCCACTAGAGTTGGGTGATAATCTGGTTTTCAACTTAATGGTGTATCACCAGCTAAACATTGCAATATACTGATATACAGTGGTACCTCGGGTTACAGACGCTTCAGGTTACAGACTCCACTAACCCAGAAATAGTACCTCGGGTTAAGAACTTTGCTTCAGGATGAGAACAGAAATCGTGCAGCGGCGGCGGGAGGCCCCATTAGCTAAAGTGGTCTCCAGGTTAAGAACAGTTTCAGGTTAAGAACGGACCTTCAGAATGAATCAAGTTCTTAACCTGAAGCACCACTTTAGCTAATGGGGCCTCCCGCTGCCGCTGCGCCACTGGTCCACGATTTCTGTTCTCATCCTGAAGCAAAGTTCTTAACCCGAGGTAATATTTCTGGGTTAGCGGAGTCTGTAACCTGAAGCATCTGTAACCTGAAGCGTCTGTAACCTGAGGTACCACTGTACTGTATCACAATATCTGAAATAAGGATGGAACTATGTGGAGGCATTGGCTGGCTTCACAGATTTTCCTGCATTGTGAGTTTTTTGCATAATGCGCGCACGCACACACAAACACACACACACACACCATGATTTGCAACATATTGCCAGGTCAAAAATTATGGACTTCAAACCAGTTTTGGACGATATATCGCCCAGCCCTAACACACATCCTGATCCACGATATATTGCCAGGTTAGAAACTAGGAAACCACTCTCACGATATGGACTTCAAACCAGTTTTGGACGATATCTGTGCCAGCCCTAGCTTACACCAAGGAGCAGAAATATGGGGAGGCACAGAGGGTGTGGCTTGCATGTGCACCCCTGCCCCTCATTTTAACCCTTGTGTATTAAATCATGTACCTGAAGAAGGCTAGATTTGGGCACGCGCTGTCGTTTTGAGGAGGTGCCCACCCCCCACATCCCCACCCCAAGGTTTATCACCCTGCTCACCGAATGTCCCTCCATGATGTCCCTCCAGAGGGGCGCATCGTTGTCCCTCTCAGCGATCTCCAGCAGGTTGTCGAGCACCACTTGGCCGATGAGGTCGTGGCGGGAGAAGCGGTCGAAATCGTAGATGCTGAAGTGGAGCTTGCGCGAAGGCAGTTCGGCAAAGGGGACGTTGAAGTTAAAAGTCTCGTTGAAAATGGGGTTCAGCGTCTTGCGGTGCACCTTGGTCTGGAACTTCTTCTTGCGGTCGGGCAGCAGGTACATTTTCACGTAGGGGTCGGAGAAGCCGTTGGCGTCTTTGGCGGGCAGGTCCAAGGCCCGCAGAATCCTCACCACCAGCTGCTCAGTGCCGTAGGCGTAGCGCAGGGCAAAGCTGATCCGCCCGCAGCTGGCGGCCTCGCCTTTCTTAGAGTCCGACTCGCCCGAGCGCTGCTTGTATAACTCGGGCTTTATCTGCCCAATGCTAGTCACTTGTTCCACCTTCTCTTCCCCTACGTGGACCCCGGTGTCCGGGCTGCTCAACTGCTGTGTCACGGGGCGCGGCAGCGTATTGTACCTGGGGAGAAAGGGGGGGGACAGTGGCTTGCGTGACCGTATAGATTAGTCACCATGGGCAGATTCACTGGACAAATGGAGAATCTTCTGGGCCAAATTCAACTAAGGGGTCCTGCAAACGGAAGCCAGTGAAAAGACTTCCACTAGTGAAATAGGGTTCCCTCCTCCTCCTGCCACACCCCCAAATCACCTCTGCGAGGGTCAAGAGAAATTCCGACAGGCAGGCGTGAGGAGAGGGGACATTGTTCCATCAAGCAAGTATACGTGAAGGAGTGTCTCCACACCCATCGTTCAGCCTGGACACTGAAGTCCAGCTCCAAGGGCCTTCTGGCGGTTCCCTCACTGCGAGAAGTGAAGTTACAGGGAACTAGGCAGAGGGCCTTCTCGGTAGTGGCATCCACCTTGTGGAACACTGTCCCATCAGACGTCAAAGAAATAAACAACTATCTGACTTTTAGAAGACATCTGAAGGCAGCCCTGTTTAGGGGAGTTTTTAAATGTTTGATGTTTTATCGTGTTTTTAATATTGTGTTGGGAGCCACCCAGAGCGGCTGGGGAAACCCATGTGGATGGACAAGGTATAAATATTATTATTATTATTATTATTATTATTATTATTTAAAATGCTTGTGCTTATGGAGGAATCTCCTCAACACTAAGTTGAATTCTGCCCTTGGCCAGGGAAGAAGAGCATCGGAGGAGAGAGATAGAGTGACTCCTCATTTTTTTTTTTTTGGTCATAATTTTTTTTAATGATTTTCACCCAATTTAACAAATTCAATTGAGTTTCATACTGTATTCCCTTATCATTTTGACACCCCGTCCTTATTTCCATGCTGTTTCTGTTCCAAGTCCTTTTATCCACTGCCTTAAATAGAATACTTATTTCTATAATATATACCCTACATCACATTCCTTTATCGTTCCTTTGCTTATATTTCTGGACCTGCCTGCGATTTCATTTGACATTAACAATTTCTCAGATAGTCCAAAAAGATTTTAAAAGCAGCTGGTCTAGACTCCAGACACCTGGAAACACTATTTATTTTCGTTGTCCTCATAACAACCTTGTGGGTTGTCCCTACAATTTTCATTTTAGGGTTGAGGCGCAACGCTAAGGAATAAGAGCATGAGAAGAACCTGCTGAATCAAGCCAGAGGCCCATTGTAGTCCAACACCCTGTTCTCACAGTAGCCAGCCAGATACCTGTGGGAAGCCCAAAAGCAAAGCCCGAAACTTGAGCACAAGAGCACTCTCCCCTCTTGTGATTTCCAGCAACTGGAATTCACAACTGGAATCTGCCTAATCCTCTTTTAATGCTACCCGGGTTGGCGGCCATCACCGCCTCTTGTGGCAGTGAGTTCCACAGTTTCTGTGCCACATGGCAACTTTTCCAAAGAGTTCACAACGGAGGCAACACTTGAATCCTACTTGCCACATCATTCATTGCCCGTTGAGCCTCGACTGTTGAATTTATGCCCCAAAGCTGTTGGCAATTTAAGGTGGGTTTTCCCCTTTAAAAACCCCCCAATATTCTTAGATAGCTGTTCAATATGCAACTGCTTCAGGCGTTTTCCTGGTCAAGGGAAGGAAGAGCCTGGGCCTTAGTTAAGGGGTCTGTTACAATTCAACATACCAGGCCTCCCAGGTTCATGTCTTCAATGCATACATCACCCACCCTGGACCAGTAGGTCCCAGGGAAGGTTACACAGTAATAAACAATAAGAAACACAGTACAGGAAACAATCAAACCAACTAAAAACAACAGCACAAAACAAAAGAAAATCAGTAAGATGAACAAAGATTCCCAAATGCTTAGGTTAAAAAATGTGCCCCTTCTTTGCAAGCCTTTCAAATATATGCAGAGTTGGTGCCATCTAAAAAGGTAAAGGTATAGGGACCCCTGACCATTAGGTCCAGTCGTGGCCGATTCTGGGGTTGTGGCGCTCATCTCGCTTTATTGGCCGAGGGAGCCGGCGTACAGCTTCCGGGTCATGTGGCCAGCATGACTAAGCTGCTTCTGGCGAACCAGAGCAGCACACGGAAACGCCATTTACCTTCCCGCCGGAGTGGTACCTAATTATCTACTTGCACTTTGACGTGCTTTCGAACTGCTAGGTTGGGAGGAGCAGGGACCGAGCAACGGGAGCTCACCCCGTCGCGGGGATTCAAACTGCTGACCTTTGATCGGCAAGTCCTAGGCTCTGTGGTTTAACCCACAGCACCACCCGCATCTAAAACGGTAAGGAACCCCAAAGTCTGAGGTTTTCCCAGATTTTGTATCCAACTCTGCCGAACAGATCAGAGGGGCACACATCCCCTCAAATACATATCCCCACATCTTGCTTGGGGCCACCACTGAGAATGCCTTCGTCCTACAACTCCCAGCATCCCTAGCTGTTGGCCATATTGCTGAGTCTGATGGGAGTTGGCGTCCAGCTTCTGGAGGGCTGCCCCTGCTCTCAGGCACTACGGGGAATTAAAATGGCGGCTCCCAGAGTCAGAGTGCTGTCCCTAATCCTCAAGTAACCAACGCCGGAGGGAGCCCATACAAGAGAAATTCATTGGGCCCCTCAAACTTGGAGCTGCCCTTGCTTCATCATTCAGTGTATGTTCTCCACAGACACGCCACACCCAGCCCATTTCTCCTCCACAACCACCTCCTGCAATGACACGAGAACCATTTATTTCTTCGGCTACAAACTGGCTGAAAAGTCATCCCAAACGGCTTAAAAGGTAAAGGTAAAGGGACCCCTGACTATTAGGTCCAGTCGTGGCCGACTCTGGGGTTGCGGCGCTCATCTCACTTTATTGGCCGAGGGAGCCAGCATACAGCTTCCGGGTCATGTGGCTAGCATGACTAAGCCACTTCTGGCGAACCAGAGCAGCACACGGAAACGCCGTTTACCTTCCCACCAGAGCGGTACCTATTTATCTACTTGCACTTTGATGTGGTTTCGAACTGCTAGGTTGGCAGGCGCAGGGACGGAGCAACGGGAGCTCACCCCGTCGCGGGGATTCGAACCGCCGACCTTCTGATCGGCAAGTCCTAGGCTCTGTGGTATAACTCAGAGCGCCACCTGCGTCCCTTCCCGAACGGCTTGCTATGACTTAAAACAAGGCTGTCTCTGCTCACAAACCAGAGGACATGACACAAAATGGGGAAGGATGGAACAGGAAAACAGCAAATGAGTGCCACTTCTTAAAGTCCTTAAACCATCTATCCCTCTTTCATCCTTATGCCCACCGCCCCCGGCGACCCTCCCACTTTCCCAACTCACCTGGGCGTGGGCGCCAAGCTTGCTACTTGCTGATGGGAGTGGGCGTTGGGCATGGTGCCTTCCTTGGTGCTGGTCTGGCCTTCCACGGGGAGGTCAGGGGAGGTCTGGCTGACCTTGAGATTGGCCTCAGGGTAGGAATCCATATCGAGGTAGGACCTTTCGGGCATCTCGGGACCCAGCTCCACCCGCTCGGCCAGGAGGTCCCCGAAAGGCGAATGGTGGAGGTGAGCATGGAGAGGGTGCTCCTTGCGTTGCGCCTGCGAAGAGGAGCCCTTGTCCCGCCAGGGGATCCAACACAGCTTCCATGAGACGAAGAGGGAGACGCCCAGCAGCACGATCCCACAGAAGGTCACGATCACTGACAGGAGGCTGACCAGGATCTCTAGGGGAGAAAAGTGGAGGGGCAGATACCACGACGGGAGGTCAACGGCAGGCAGGTGGCTGCTGTAGGCCCCTGGCATCTCGGTCGCCGGCCCTGGCGCGTCCCCTCTCCTCTGCTGGACACTGTCCCCTACCCTGCCCAGGACACCCGAACTATTATTGTCAACGGCTGCAGGCCAGGGGGCTCTGCGGGTCAGTGGCAGGGCCGCTTGTATGACTTGGTTGACACTATCAAGCCAGAACTGGCCTCATGCAGCAACCGTCTTCAGCACCCTCTGGGGCCTCGTCTACTCAGGACGGAACAGACCGGAACCTGGGCGATGTCCCCAACTGCCAGTAGAGGCCATGTGAATCTGATCCCTCCCGCACTGGCAGCCAAAAAGCAGGTAAACAAGAAGAATTTTTACCAAGTAATTTTATTCAATACAGTGGTACCTCGGGTTAAATACTTAATTCGTTCCGGAGGTCTGTCCTTAACCTGAAACTGTTCTTAACCTGAAGCACCACTTTAGCTAATGGAGTCTCCCACTGCTGCCGCGCCACCAGAGCATGATTTCTGTTCTCATCCTGAAGCAAAGTTCTTAACCCGAGGTACTATTTCTGGGTTAGCAGAGTCTGTAACCTGAAGCGTATGTAACCCGAGGTACAACTGTATTCACAGAGGGAATTCAGTCTCCCAAAGATAGTGGCTCTGAGTAAAGTCCCACCCCCTCTGTCTCTCCTATTCTACGTCACCACCCCTGCGTCGGCTAATCTGAGCTTTCTGCCTCGGAGCTCTCTGTTCTACTACTCTCAAGGCTCACCTGGTTCGGGGGGGGGTAGGGTTAGGAATGCTTCCCAAAGACCCTGAGTCTGTCAGCTGTCTCTCCCCTGGTGCTTCTTCTTCCTGCTGTTCTTCTCCCAATATTCCCCAGCTTCTCCCCTCTGCAGCCTGTGAACTATTCCCTTCTGCAAACCACTGTTCTACATCTATACTGTCCTCGGGAATGTTCAGGAAGAGGGGGGGACAGCAATCTCCACCTTTCCTCCTCAGTCCAGCCCCTGACACCCTGGCAGACAAATCCACATAGCCCCTAATGATATTGTGAACCACCCTGAGATCTACGGATGAAGAGCATTATACAAATTTTAATAATAATAATAATAATAATAATAATAATAATAATAATAATATGCCTTTTCTGCAGGTTTTAATAGAAAAGGTGCTTTGGGGGCCACTTGTCTCAAAATTGAGATATGAATAGAATGAATTGTACATATTAGGAAACTCAGCTTGCCAAGGGTGGAGTCTTAGGTAGCTCAGTTGGCTAGAGTGTGGTAGGGATAATGCCAAGGGTGCAGGTTCGATCCCAGTATGGGACAACTGCATATTCCTGCATTACAGGGGTTTGGACCAGATGGTCCAATTCTATGAATCTAAGCACAAGAGGGAGGTATCATTGGGCTACGGGGAAACCCAACCCTCAAGCTGTGGAAATAGTAATGATGATAGTAATAACAGTCTTCTGAGGACTGAGCATGCTCAATGGCCACAGAGCCATCTGCTGAGGGAAGAAAACGGATGGAAGACAATGGAATGGAGTCCCCTGGAAAACAGAAATGCCTCACTGGCTGGCACCTTGAACAAAAGGTCTCTCTTGTATATCCAGCCTCCCAGATTTCTCAATTGCTAAAATATGCCAAGACTGCCTCCCATTAAATCCCACTCTAGCTAGAGACAGCCAGCACAACTCGTGCCCTAATAAATACCCCAGCAACGAAAGTTTAAACAAAAAAACTTCCAGAATTTTATTTTATTTTTAAAAATCAAATTGGAGGTAATTTGCATTTTTGCAGCAAGAGTTGACATGTTTACACTTCTCATTTCAAAGCTTTGTCCCCACCCCACCACCCGTGGGGGGGGGTTGCTCCAGCAAAAGCAGTGAGGACTGGAATCTTGATTGTTTTAAAATACAATTGCCAGGATCCTACAGATCCTGTCAAGACTGCATCTTCACATTTGGTTGGTAAACACGGATCACCTGACACACCATTTGCCTGAGTGCCAGCATCAACACTGAGAATCTGATATTACCCTAACAGTCCCTGTGCCTTCCCCCTCACCTTCATGGACTCCTGGCTACGCCTAGGCCACGATTCTTCCTCGTATTGAGATCCTTCCCCTAGATATGGGCCATATCCTCCCCTACCTCTAGGCTCCTCACCTGAGTTGATGGGACCCACATGGCCTGTCAGTTCCTGACACTTCTCACGTTCCTGGGCAGCGCATGTGTTGGAACACAGCACATGAAGAAGCTCCATTGCCCTGCGGTGTCTGTCTTCATCATAATCTCCCGACATGATGCCTGAAGACAGGACAGAAAACATATTTTTCAACATATATTTAAGGAGGGAGGGGGACAACCAAGGTCATGCAAGTCTTTGGGGCCACGGTTACCTCAGAACCGAAGTTCAATGTGGCTACTTTTCAGCGCGACACTGATTCCCAATGCTCATTGAAGTGGGTTCACAAGAGGCTACTGCCTATAAGGTCCTGGGTTCATTCCCCAGCGTCCCCTGGTAAACAAATCAGGTATGCAGGATGGGGAAAAGGATTCTCTGCTTGAGGCCTTGGACAGTGGCTGCCAGTCAGAGTGGACATCACTAGTCTGGCCTGGAATAAGGCCAGCTCCCTGTGTTCCTAGAAATGCGTCCTATGTCTGCTCATTATTTGGGGGCAACTGGGCGGCCGCTGGAAACGGCTGCATCTGTTCCATTGGGGTTCTGCCCTCTTCCGCATTCGCCTTCAGCATGCCCTCAACTTCACTTCCCCAGCAGAAGAGGAAAAGGGAAGCCTCGTCCATTGATGTGACAAAACCGTCACCCCTTATAACAGGCTTCCTCAGCCTCGGCCCTCCAGATCTTTTTTGGCCTACAACTCCCATGATCCCTAGCTAGTAGAACCAGTGGTCAGGGATGATGGGAATTGTGGTCTCAAAATATCTGGAGGGCCGAGGTTGAGGAAGCCTGCCTTGGAATAAGCCGTCCTGTTTAGAGTTACCTTGTGGGGAGACCAACTTTGGTCCTCCCCACCTTAAAAACTTGCCCAATTTCCTACAGGCCTACTTGGCATGCCAACTTACTTTACCCAGAAAAGCAGTACCGTATAAAGGTTAGAGCAGTGACAGGGCAGTTTCCCTGTATAGGGAAGTTTTTAATGTTTTATTATGTTTTTGTATATGCTGGAAGCTGCCCAGAGTGGCTGGGGCAACCCAGTCAGATGGGTGAGGCATAAATAATAAAACTGTTATTGTTATTGTTGTTATTTCTTTCTGCCAAAGGCCATTTGGATAATTTGTGGGGGGCTGCACAGAAGCGGGGTGTAAACCTCCTTTTTCTCTGCCATCTCATTCTTGCTCTTTTGTTTCTGCTGCCCATTTAACCCCTCTGTTTTACCTCCATGAAATCAAGCCAAAATATATATGGGCAGTCCCAGGTCCAAGCAGCTCAGTGGGGTCTCAGCCATGCTAACTGGGTGACCTTGGGCAAGCCGCTATGAGTCAATCTTTCTCAGCCTAGGCTACCTCACAAGGTTGTTGCGAGGATAAAATGGGAGACCCACGTGTGCCACCTTTGAGTTCCCCGGAGGAAAGGGTGGGCTGTAAGTGGATTTTCTACGTGACGTCCCCTCAGGAAAACTATTGGGTGGGGCAATTAGATTTGCAGCATATGAACCTTACCCCTTCCCGCAAACACCCCTTTTTCCTTTTGAGCCAGGGTGTACATCGTATACGGTGAAGGGAATGTGGAGCAGTCTAGATTGAAAGGCTTCTCCTCCAGTAACTCCTGACAGAAGCGTCAAATGCAGTCAGCCTGTGTTCTGTTTATTCCAGGCAGAAAATAGAAAGGCAGGCAGACAAGGGCAGACAGCAGGAGAAGCAACATGACCTTTTTTCAGGGTAATAGGCATTTATAGGAAGGGCTTCTGGTTTCCTGACCGATCCATGCTTGGGATTCCCCATTTCAGAGAATTGCAATAGGGAGACCAGGGGCCAAACTGGACCTTAATCAGGGAAATGAGCTCGATTCTCTTGTAACGTTAACATGTCTGCATGGGGGCCACATTTGCAAAGCAGAATCAGTTTTTAGATCTCAGTCCCTCCCAGGCAGCCTTGGCAAACCTGCGCTCGCTAGACGTTTGGGGGAGGCATTTCCTATAGGTAAGTTCGACTTGAAGGGCTCTCCTCAGCCAGATGGGGCACTGAGGTGAAACACAGTCAACAAGGCATATAAAATGGAGAGCATGTTAGGCCCTTCCAAAAGGGACATGGCCAGTTGCTAAGGAAGCAAAGGAGTTTAATGGTGGATTTTGGATATAATGGAGATGTAAAAGATTTGGATTATTATAAAAGATGCAGGAGGAAATGACTAAAAACAGGACCCACAAAGGGGAGGAGGGAAGATTATTTGGAATCTTGTTTTTATGATATATGTTGGATATGTGATTGCAAATCTTTAATTTGAAAAACAAGATAAATAAATGTATAAAGAAGGGGAGAAGCAAAGGATTCGCTAAACATCACGTCCTGTTCCCCAACCACTGCTGTTTTGTGGTTCAGGTATCGAACTCAGGACGCAAGGGAGAATGTGCTAAGAGGAAGGCACGCTTGGCAAATCCACACCGTGATCAACTCCTGCCCGGAAACCAATGTCCCCACTGTGGAAGGACGTGTGGATCCAGAATTGGCCTCCACAGCCACTTACGGACTCATTGTTAAAACTGTGTTTATGGAAGACAATCTTACTCGGCTACGAGGGATCGCCGAAGAAAGAAAGAAAGAAAGAAAGAAAGAAAGAAAGAAAGAAAGAAAGGGAGATTGACTGGAGGGTAAATGCCAATGGCTGCCCCACATCCCAGGACCGTGTGTGGAGCTCATGGACATCACGTTGAGGATAGACATTTCCCCACAGATATAGGCCTATGGGCTTTCCCTCAAGGTTAGATCACCACTGGATCTAATTTTAAGGATTAAAAACAGCTGTTTCAGTACTTCTGGCCCCATAAGTGCAGTTGGTGTCTATGCACGTTTTTTTCTTTGCTTTGCAGAGCGCAAGATGACTGGCAGGTCCCTACCCACCAAGGAACTTACAATCAAACATTCAGCACAGGGGGGAACAGGGAAGTAAGAAGATGGGAGGCAGGAGCTGCCCTTTGGGAAAATGAACGTTGGCGCTCTGCGCTCTCACCTGGTCAGCAAACTGGTTCAGGGGGTGGCTGTCAGGTTGCTTCCGTGTTGCCGGATCCAGGATGCCAACTGGTCCAGGTCAATGCCAGCAAGACGCCAATACCAAGTCCCTGGGGATCCGAGTCCGCGTGGAAGCAGCTGCAAGCCGGAAGCAGGGCACCCAATCTGCCATCCGGCGAGCTGCTGGGTCCATGGGTCGCCAAGTGGGGAAGCGGCAGGGTGAGAGGGGTAGCGCCCTCTGCTGGATGCACGAGGGAACAATCTGCAGAGGCGAAGAGGGTCAGTAGTCCTGGCTGGCTTTGCTATGCCTGGTTGGCGTGCCCAATTCCCAGCTGTCCCTGGGGGGCTTCTTCATGGCGGGAGAGGGCTGTTGTCTTAAGTCCTTGGCGAAATTGCACCGCTGCAGTTGCCACCCTCTTTAGTTCCGTAGGCACCTGCATGGATACAAAGGCTAGTTATTTGGGGTGGGCTCATTCCCACCTCCTGTTGCTCCCATTCTTCCCCTGACCACCCCCAGCCACATCACTTGGAACAGAGCATATGGATCTCTAGCACCCCCACCATCCAAACATCCTTTTTGTAAGCCCAAAGACAGCTTCTTCTGTCAGTTTGCATTTCTTAGTACAGAAAGTATTGATCAGATGTGTGGAGATCTTTCCTATTCTACTTAATACAAGAAGGTTCAAGAAGTTTCTATGTGAAAGAAGCAGGAAGGTTTTTGTTGTTTGGGTTATTTCCTTCTGGGAAGCTTACAGCTGGTTTAAACTCGTTCTGTTATCTTTCTGTCAAGGTCATGCTGACTATAATAGGGAGGACAGAAGGAGCCCGAGTTTCACTTATTTTCTCTTTTCTGTCTCTTTGTTCTAGTCTGGTGTTCTGTATGCTATAGTGTTAAGGTTTGGCCTTATTATAAGTATTGCAAGTTTCATTGTAAGTGCTGCAACTGGATTTTTCACGGACTGTGCCAATCCTGAATGTGTTGGATCCGTGACCATTATGCTCATTTGCCTTCAGTAAAGCTCTGCTGGATGAAGTACAATTGCCTCTGGTCTATGTTATAAAACTCTGCATCGTGTTTAAGTTTCTTCCTCTGCTGGTGCTGGCAAGTCATCTTCTTCCAACAGGCTGAAAACAAGAATAGTGGAAGCCAGGACACCCGGGTTTCTTGAGAGCTATCTGGTGGGATTGGGCAGTCGCAGAGTAGGAGAAATCCAAATTCTAGGGCTGGGAATTGGGTTATGCCAGGATTCTCACAAAAGAAACATTGTTTTGTGTGGTGCCATGGGCACAATGGTGCCCTTGAAGTCTTCTCCTGGTGCCCACAAAGTCTCTGAGCCTACCCCCATGCCCTTCACTGCCCCCTGGCGATCAGATAGGGAAGATGCTTACCGTATTTTTCGCACCATAGGACGCAGTTTTTCCGTCTTAAAAACTAAGGGGAAAAGTCTGTGCGTCCTATGGTGCGAATGCAGGGGGGGAGGCAAGCAAGAAAAGCCCGCAAGAGCCACACACAAGCTTCGCACGGCTCTTGCGGGCTTTTCCCCAGGAGGGAGAAGGGACTGACGCGGCCAGTCAGTCCCTTCTCCCTCTTCTAGAAAAGCCTTGCGCAATTTGCGCAGTCGTGGGAGGATACGCAAGGCTAAAGAGGAAGCCCGGGCAGTGAGCGCGATCCATCCCGCTCGCTGCCCGAGCTTCCTCTTTAGCAGTGCGCGCCTCTCCAGCCGCAGAAGGCTGAGCAAGGCTAAAGAGGAAGCCCAGGCAGTGAGCACGATCCATCCCGCTCGCTGCCCGGGCTTCCTCTTTAGCAGTGCGCCGCCTCCCACGCGCGCAAGGCTAAAGAGGAAGCCCGGGCAGTGAGCGCGATCCATCCCGCTTGCTGCCCGAGCTTCCTCTTTAGCAGTGCGCCGCCTCCCACGCGCGCAAGGCTAAAGAGGAAGCCCGGGAAGTGAGCGCGATCCATCCCGCTCGCTGCCCGAGCTTCCTCTTTAGCAGTGCTCGCCTCTCCAGCCGCGGGAGGATACGCAAGGCTAAAGAGGAAGCCCGGGCAGCGAGCGCGATCCATCCCGCTCACTGCCTGGGCTTCCTCTTTAGCAGTGCGCGCCTCTCCAGCCGCGGGAGGCTGAGCAAGGCTAAAGAGGAAGCCCGGGCAGTGAGCGCGATCCATCCCGCTCGCTGCCCGAGCTTCCTCTTTAGAAGTGCGCGCCTCTCCAGCCGCAGGAGGCTGAGCAAGGCTAAAGAGGAAGCCTGGGCAGTGAGCGCGATCCATCCCGCTCGCTGCCTGGGCTTCCTCTTTAGCAGTGCGCGCCTCTCCAGCCGCGGGAGGATACGCAAGGCTAAAGAGGAAGCCCGGGCAGCGAGCGCGATCCATCCCGCTCACTGCCTGGGCTTCCTCTTTTGCCTAGCACACCTCTCCAGCCGCGGGAGGCTGCACAAGGCTAAAGAAGCCAACTTTTAAAAAATCTCTCTATCTCTACCTCTTTTTCTTTTTTCGTCCTTTCTCCACCCCCTTATTTTCCTCTGGATCAGTGTTTTTATCTAGATTAACGTTTTAATTTGGAGGGTGGGAATATTATAAAAAAGGAAACTTTGCAGCTTTTATTTTAGTATACAATAAAAACAGATTAAACAAAACACAAGAGAAGGAACTAGCATAGAAGAAGAAGAGAAAAGGGAAAGAGGGAGGATACAAAGCCATTTACCAGAGGTAGATCTTAACCCTTGCCTCACCTGGGAGCTTCTCTGGACAGGAATTCTCTCGGCTTAAGTGGGGTGAGGGAAGAGTGGCAGGTAGGGGGGTACCTACCTAGACAGTGAAGCCACATGTCTCTCCAATGAAAATTGGGAGTGGGCATTGTGTGAAGTGGCTGTGGATCTCCTGCCACAGAAGTGTAGGACTGTATAGAGTTGGGAGGGCCACCCGAGGGTCATCTAGCCCAGCCCCCTCACAATGTAGGAATCACAGCTAAAGAACGCCAGGCAGATGGTCCCCCAACTGCTGCTTAAAAGCCTCCAGTGGTGGAGACCCCCAACAACTTCCGAGGTCACAGAATTGCAGGGTTGGAAGGGAACCCCAGGAGTCATCTAGTCCAGCCCCGGTGGACAGCGGGCACGATCCATCCCGTTGTGCAAGGCTAAAGATGCTGCTCAAGGCTAAAGAGGAAGCCCGCAGCCTGTCCGTTGCTCTTTGGGGCTGGGGGGGGATAATATTTTTTTCCTTGATTTCCCCCTCTAAAAACTAGGTGCGTCCTGTGGTCCGGTGCGTCCAATAGAGCGAAAAATACGGTACCTTTTTCTTCATCAAGTTGAAGGAGGAAGTTGGAGGAGTGCCATTCTTTCCCACTTCCTCTTTCAGCTAGATGTGCTTTTCGAGGCTCGCATCGATATACCTCAGCCAGTACAGCACATTACTCTTGATCTCAGGGTTCTGGGTTCGAGTTCCACACTGGGTGAAAGATTCCTGACCCTCGTGGCCCCCTCCAACTCTACAAATCTATGGTTCTACCATCCACCTTTTAACCAGATCCCTTGGAAAAGCAAAGTGCGCACACATTTTCTCCCTTTCTGTCTCTCGAGGAGGCAGCGGGTATGTGTGTTACGGGTTTCATTTGTGGGAAGGAGAAAGGAAACGATCAGAAGGGGAGGCACCTACAGCTCTCGCTCAAAAACTGGAGCATATTCATGGGCCTAAAAAAACGCCGGCAACATTTTAGAAGAATTAAGAGGTGGCAGTTGCTAAAAGGCATGAATGCCCAGATTCTCTAAGCCAAGAGTGTGATCAGGGCTAAGTACACACAAGACTTGGGGCCCGCTTCCAAGATATAGGCTGCATACACACTGTAGCCTTAAGACACATTCAAAGCCCATTATTTCCCTCAAAGAATTCTGGGAATTGTAGTTTGCCCCTCACGGAGTCACAATTCCCAGCAACTCTCAACAGATGACAGTGCCCATAATTCTTTGAGGGCAGAGAATGTGCTGTGAATGTTCTTTAAAGGTGAGTGGGCAGCTATAGGGTTGTAACCGTCAGTCAAGCTCAGAGCAGGCCCCCTGGAATTAATGGAAACTGCAGACTTGGATCCTTTTGGGTTCCACACAGGTTTACTATGAGTAGGACTTGGCTGGATACAGTCCATCCATTTATATAGGTGCAGAGATTCCAAGGGGGAAGACAACTTAAGTTCTCACCGTCAAAGATTACTCTATTACATTACTAAGTGCCAGCAGCATTTTCTGGGCTCACTGTATGTTAACTGGGACCTCTGCCCCACCTGCAATCTATCGGCAAGAGCTGCTGCTTAGGTACATATTAGAATTAAAAATTGAAAGTCTCGTGGAACCTCTAATGCGACTTCTCTCCCTCACATACTCACAGGTACCCATTTTCCCTTTCCACCCTGTCCAGCGCTTGCAGGTAAAAGAAAAGGTAAAAGACTCCTGGACAGTTAAGTCCAGTCAAAGGTGACTCTGGGGTTGCGGCGCTCATCTCGCTTTCAGGCCGAGGGAGCTGGCATTTGTCCATAGACAGCTTTCCAGCTCATGTGGCCAGCATGACTAAACCGCTTCTGGCGCAATGGAACACCGTGACGGAAACCAGAGTGCATGGAAACGCTGTTTACCTTCCCACCGGAGCGGTACCTAATTATCTACTAGCACTTGCATGCTTTCGAACTGCTAGGTTGGCAGGAGCAGGGACCGAGCAACGGGAGCTCACCCCGTCGCAGGGATTTGAACCACTGACCTTCTGATCGGCAAGCCCAAGAGACTCAGTGGTTTAGACCACAGTGCCACCCGCATCTTCCACTGCTTGCAAGTCACCTGTTGCCCGTCAATACCATCCATGAGGGATGCCCCGCAACCACAGATCAACACAATTGGAGCCATGACCGAAAAGTCAATGAAGATGGCGGGTGGCCTGGAACCCTGACCAGCAGGGCATTTTGCACTGTGCTGGACCGGCCCGTACCCAAAGCGCAAATAAATAAGTAAATAAATATTGGGGGTGGGGAAGAGAGAGATGGGGCTAAAACACACACACACACACACACACATGAGGTTGGCTCTCCCCTAGGCCACCCGCTATCAACACCCCTGGGTGTGATGTAGCAGATTCAGGCGAGGGAATCCGAGACGCCCTACAGGTGCGAGGAATGGGGTATATTATGCACCTGCTGATAATTTGTGCCGCTGTGCTCTTGCGTAAAAATGTGGGGGTCTCCCCCAAATATAAATTTCATCACAGAATTCCCTGCCTTTACAGACTGAGGAACAGTGTGTGTGTGTGGCCTAATTAGAGACTGGAAGGTTGGAAATCACAATGGTTTTTGTGTGCAAGAGGAAGAGAGAACACAAACCCAATTTTCTCATTTTCTCCACCTTTGTCCCTTTTCTATAAAGGAAGACGCCGGCACAGGGCTAACCACGGGAGACTCCTTTT